CTCAAGCGAGAGGAGGAGCCTCTCGCGCGTCTCCAGCGAGATGGTGACTCGGACGACGGAGTACACGGCCGCACCGGGCTACCGCGTTCTCGCGTCGGGCGAGGTCGCGAACGAGGTCACGGCGCAGACGTTCAGCATGGCCGCCGCGCTCGCCGCCGGCCTCGTCACCCAGGGGGCGCCGCCGCCTCAGCCCGCGATGGAAACGACGCGGACCGTCCGCCGCTCGTTCGCGCAGACGGGCACGGAGGGCGGCGAGTCCGTAATGGCGGTCGCGCGCGAACCACTAGATGGCGGTGTCGTCGTCGAGCGGACGACGGACGACGGGGAGCGGTACGAGTATCGGCAGTCGCGCGCGGTTTCCATGACGACGACGACGACGAGCAGCAGCAGCGAGGTGGTCGGCGAGAGAAGAAGCAACGAGGGGAGGAGCGTGGAATACACGGTGGTGCCTCGCTTCACCGACATCAAGGAGGAGGTCGAACAGAGGTCGGAGGTCATAGACAACGGCCGACCGCCGCCGCGCGAGGAGAAGGAGAAGAAAGAGAAGCCGAAAAGACCGCCGCGCAAGAAGAAGACGCCGCCGCCGAAGGAGGAGGATGAGGAGGAGGAGGAGGAGACTCGCCACGACACGTGGGAGGTCGTGCACACGCGGCGCGCGGAGGAGAAGGTCGACGAGGTCAGCAAGAGAGTCCCTCCCGCCGCAGTGGAGACGCGGAGGAAGAAGCCTCTTTCGTCGGAGGAGGAGGCGCAGCATGAGGAGTACGAGGTGGTGACGAAGAAGAAGCTCAAGCAGGAGTTTGTCCTCGGCGACGAGAGGGTCTTCGAGGAGGAAGCCAAGATCGTGGAGCCTCCTTCCGCGCGCACCGTAGAGGAGCAGCGGAGAGAGGCGCCGAAAGAGGAGGAGGAGTACGACGTGATCCACACGGTAAGGAAGACTCAGTGGGTCGACATTCCAGAAGAAAAGAGCTTCGAGAAGGAGATCGAGTTTGAGTTCGTAGAAGGAAGGTCGGAACCGGAGAAGGTAAAGGAAGATATTCAAGTGGAAACGCGAGAGACCCGCACAATCATCAGAGAGGAAAAATTCTTCGACGGCGAAACAGAGTTGAAGTTTATGCGTGGAATGACGGAACCGGACGAACGGTCCGCGGTGGAGGGAAACCGCGAAGAGGAAACCAGGGAGGTCCGCTCCCTGTTCGGAGAGAGCTCTACCGACACCGTCGACCACGCGTCGAGGGAGGCGCCGCGGACGGAGGAGGAGAAGGAGGAGGAGGTGCGCTACGAAGAATACGACGTCGTCCACAGAAGGAGACAGGAGATCACAGTCACGCAGGACGAGGCCGCGCAGAAGGAAGCCGAGTTCACGCTCCCGACGAAGAGAGAAGCCAACGCTGCACGATTGGTCGCGGAGGAGAAGCCGAGAGAGGAAGCCGAGGAGAGGTTCGAGGAATATGACGTCGTCCACAGAAGAAGACAGGAGATCACCGTCACACAGGACGAGGCCGCGCAGAAGGAAGCCGAGTTCACGCTCCCGAAGAGGAGAGAAGCCAACGCGGTCACGAAGAAGGAGGAGAAGCCGAGAGAGGAAGCCGAGGAGAGGTTCGAAGAGTACGACGTCGTCCACAGAAGGAGACAGGAGATCACCTTCACACAGGACGAGGCCGCGCAGAAGGAAGCCGAGTTCACGCTCCCGACGAAGAGAGAAGCCGTTGCGGTCACGAAGAAGGAGAAGAAGCCGAGAGAGGAAGCCGAGGAAAGGTTTGAGGAATACGACGTTGTCCACAGAAGGAGGCAGGAGATCACCGTCACACAGGACGAGGCCGCACAGAAGGAAGCAGAGTTCACGCTCCCGACGAAGAGAGAAGCCAACGCTGCACGATCGGTCGCAAAGGAGGAGGGAAAGCCGAGAGAGGAACCCGAGGAGAGGTTCGAGGAATACGACGTCGTCCACAGGAGAAGACAGGAGATCACCTTCACGCAGGACGAGGCTGCGCAGAAGGAAGCAGAGTTCACGCTCCCGAAGAGGAGAGAAGCCGACGCGGTCACGAAGAAGGAGGAGAAGCCGAGAGAGGAAGCCGAGGAGAGGTTCGAGGAATACGACGTCGTCCACAGAAGAAGACAGGAGATTACCGTCACACAGGACGAGGCCGCGCAGAAAGAAGCCGAGTTCACGCTCCCGACGAAGAGAGAAGCCGGCGCTGCACGGTCGATCGCGCAGGAGAAAAAGGAGAAGGAGAAGAAGAAGCCGGGAGAGGAAGCTGAGGAGAGGTTCGAGGAGTACGACGAGGTGCGCCGCACGACGACGACGCAGGAGGTGACGATCGGCGAGGAAGCGAGAGCCGACCTCGAGCGACAACGGGAAGAGTGCATGGCCGCGCTCGAACGACGATTCAGCGTGGACACCGACGCCGTCGTCATGACGGACCGATCCACGGGAAAATCCCTCACCCTCAGAGAATCGGTCGACGCCGGCCTCCTCGACCTTACTACGGGGGAGGTTGTCGATCAGTCGACCGGCGCGATGATCTCGATCGGAGACGCCGCGAAGGAAGGCATCTTCGACGCGGAGGTGTCCGAACGCGTGCAGCTGTCCGTGAAAGCTACGGCGGCGACGGGGAAGCCCGGGGAGACGCGGACGATCGAGGAGATGATGAGGGAAGGGGTGCTCGACGCGAGCACGGGGCAGTATGTCGACGCGGCGACTGGTAAGCGCGTGTCGCTCAAGGAAGCCATCGACGCGGGCGTCGTCGATGCCGACGCCGTCATCTTCGTGCATCCGGTGACGGGTGACGCGTTGACGCTGGCGGAAGCGGCGGAGCGAGGACTGGTCGACTTGGACACGGGCATGGTCGTCGATCCGAAAACGAAGAAGCAAGCGTCGTTGGCAGATAGTGTGGATATCACAACAGTTGAAGATTTGATGAAAGAGGGAAGAGTTGACCCTAAGACAGGAAAATACATCGATGCTACAACAGGAAAGAGAATGTCCATGAAAGACGCCATAGATGCTGGTCTGGTAGATGGAGACAAGGTTCTGTTTGTCCACCCAGTAACAGGAGAGACAATGTCGTTAGCAGAAGCAGCTAAGAAGGGACTGATCGACTTAGACACAGGCATGGTAATTGATCCAAAAACCAAAAAGCAAGCGTCGTTGGCAGATAGCATAGCTATAACAACAGTTGAAGACCTCATGAGAGAGGGTAGAATTGATCCCAAGACAGGAGAATACATCGATGCTTCAACAGGAAAGAGAATGTCCATGAAAGACGCCATAGATGCTGGTCTGGTAGACGGAGACAAGGTTTTATTTGTTCACCCAGTAACGGGAGAGACAATGTCGTTAGCAGAAGCAGCTAAGAAGGGACTGATCGACTTGAACACAGGCATGGTAATTGATCCAAAAACCAAAAAGCAAGCATCGTTGGCAGATAGCATAGATATAACAACAGTTGAATACCTCATGAGAGAGGGAAGAATTGATCCCAAGACAGGAGAATACATCGATGCTTCAACAGGAAAGAGAATGTCATTGCAAGACGCCATAGATGCTGGTCTGGTAGACGGAGACAAGGTTCTGTTTGTCCACCCAGTAACAGGAGAGACAATGTCACTAACAGAAGCAGCTAGGAAGGGACTGATTGATTTAGACACGGGCATGGTCGTTGATCCAAACACGGGAACACAAGCTTCCCTCGCGCAGTCGGTCGGCGTGCGAACGCTCGAAGAACTCTTCGCGGAAGGCTGCATCGACCCCAAGACGGGCGAATACATCGATGCTTCAACAGGAAAGAGAATGTCATTGCAAGACGCCATAGATGCTGGTCTGGTAGACGGAGACAA